AAACGCAAGATGACCATCTTTTATTTCAGGTTACATGGCAATAGTCTCTACTCTCTGTTATAAAGGGCGCCTAGTAATTCCAGCTTTGTCTCAGCATATTCCGAAATTAATACAACTAATTCATTGCCCTCCACCACACCTTGTGGTTTCTAAATGCTCCACCTATACATGCCCATCTTGGATTTCCCATTAAGCTACCATCAAAATTAAGCTTCAGCCAGAGGTTACCAACCCATTCTCAAACTTTCCTTGTATCTATCTGTTTGTGCCACTTCAGCCCATGCTCTTATGATATCATTAGTTGAAAATTCTCAAAAGAGTTCCAAAGTTCTTACCCAATGTACAGTTCTAACTGTTATAGCCTCAATCAACTCTTCTTTGGCTCTACCTTTTTCGTTAAAGATCCTTTGCTTTCTTACTTCCCAGATAGTCCACACTAATCCCCCCCCTCCCCCTTGTTGCCTTAAGAAGTCAGAGTTGAATAGGCTTACCACATCTTGTGGGGGGACCCATCTGCAACTAAAGAGAGATCAGAAAAGTCCCAAATACAAGTCACATATGCACATGAGATTAATAAACGAGGGAGGGTCTCACCACTAGCCTTGCAAAGAATACAGAACATAAGGAGAGAGGCACATATTAGGCCTTTTTTTTCTGTAGCCTATCACAAGTGTTGATCTTTCAAAGGAACACTTCCCAACACAAACCTTGAGCTTTACGAGGGTAGGTTTACACCAAATCTCTTTCATCTGGAAGTTTACCCCCTCAGAATCTGAATGAACCAGAAATGGAGGCACGAGAGAAAAGACCCTTAGTGGAAGGAGACCTCTAGCTTCCATCTTTTTTCTTCACTAGTAGCACCAGAGAGGAGTAAGGGGTGGAGCTCAGTTGTATTTACTTCTTACTCAGTAATTCCTTCACAATCTTTTCTATTTCTTGCTTTTGGAAATGTGGGTATCTGTAAGGGCAGACATTTGTTGGTAGGGCCCCTAGGGTGGTGGGAATGTGGTGGTCCAAGAAACACTGAAGTGGCATGCCAGCTGGATCTCGTAACACATCACCAAACCAATCCAATGGTTATTGTAAGTCAGGTTGCATCTGTGGCAGACTATCACTAAAGCTTGGCTAAGAAAGGGTTGGGCTTGGGTTCAACTGTTCAAGGCCCAATCACATGAAGGGGGATTGGTGATCCTGCTGATTACATTTGATAATAGCCTATAAGCCCTTAGCCTCAGTCCCTTTCAATTGGCAAACTTTTCCATTTTTCTGGTATTTCATTGTCATATTGGACTGATCCCAATTGTCTTAACCATTGCACCCCTAAGATCACGTCACCCCACTGAATTCTAAGGTAAAAAGATCAGTCTTATAAGCATTGCCTTGAGTAGTCGATCAAGACTACAGTCAGTCTTGAATCCAAAAAGGTTTCGGATGGAGAAAAGAAGAAGAAGAAGAAAAGGAGAAAAGGAGGAGAAGCAGAAGTACACAAGGGTTTAGAAAGGAGAGGGACAGATAGATTAAATCTGCCGCCCCACTCTTAATATTTATATGTTATGTTCACTAATTGTAGAAAAAGGCAGAATTGCCCTTAATGCTTACATGGCAAATAAAGCAATAATAAGCTGAAATAACAAGCTGTCTGAAATAACTACCAACTAACACTGATATAACTAACAAAGATTACATGTGCTGTCATACAAACACAGTGGGGACCACAGCCGTGGGGCCCACACCAGTGTTCTCTACACCTTGCACTTGAAACAATACATCCTTACATACCCCTTCACAAGGATCTATGATCAGTGAAGCCCAACGACTGAGCTAGGTTGGAAGATATGAAATCCAGGGTGGTCTCACTGTCAATGAGTACTAAGACCTTTTTTCCAAACAAAACCCTTTTGACCCTCCCTCATGGTCTATGGAGATGACAGGCCTGGCAAGGCTTGCAATGAAATTTTTGGGGTTCTAAGGGCCAAGAAATCTTCAGTTTCATCAGTTACAAGGCTGGTTTCCTCCACTACTTCCTTTCCAACCAGGTCTGGTTCCTTTGTCTATAAGATATAGACCTGATGGCCTTGCATTTGTGTCCAGGCCTGCATTTTTCTTCACAATTATAGCAGAGCCTACGCTCCCTACGGGCTTGCTTTTCAGCCCAAGTGAGTTTTTTGAAGGGAACCGTGGGGTTGGGTCCGTGTAGTATGGGCTGGTTGGAATTGTTGTTGAGGTTCATTCATAAAGGTGAGGTCTTGAGGACTAGGCTGTAGGCCCTATTAACCTTTCTTGCCTTTCTTGATTCTATTTAACCGTTCCTCCTATAGGCAGGCCAGACCTACTGCTGCCATAACTGACGTAGGCTGCATGTCCTTAACTTTAACCTTTATTTTTTCTTTAAGACATCCAATGAAACACCCCAAAAGATCCTTCTCCGGCCAGCCATGGACTTGCATGGCAAGTTTCTCGAATTCAATCTAGTCATCCTAGCTGAATTGAGTTGCTCAAGTTTTGATAGAGTCTCATCATAATCTTAATAACCAGTAGGGCAAAATCTTATGTGAAGGGTGTTTGTAAACTCAATCCAAGTATCTTGGGGATGAGATCTGTGGTACCATTGGTAGCACAAGATCACCTCTCCTAGATGAAACGATGCTATGGAGACTCTTTGATGACTAGGGGTTTCGTGATATTCAAAATGCTTGTCTACTTTGAAGATCCAAGGCTTGGGGTCACCTCCAGTGTATATCAGAAATTCCAACTTGGTTAGTCTTCTAATCACTGTTCCATTTTGTCTATCTGCCTTTCCCACGACCAAACCTTCCTGATCAGCTTTACATCCTCTGGCGGAATTTGCCTTTCCATTTGCACCAGCACAATGGGCAGATTTCCTTCAATTCTTATAGATTGCTGATCGCCTTGTGCAGGTGAACCTCCATCCGATCTAGGGACATCCTTGAGGACTTGGCTTAGATTAGTTATTACTTGCTTGCCTTACTAGGGACATCCCCGAGCTTATATAAAGAGCTAAATGGAGAGAGAGATTGATTATTACTTGTTTTCCTTACTAGGAACATCCTCAAGGGCTTGGTTTAGATTGGTTATTACTTTCTTGCCTTACTAGGGACATCTCCTAGCTAAGGAGCTAACTAGCTCCAAAAGATCTAAAAACAAACTCAAGTTCTAGAAGATTCTAGTAGCTCTGATTGATTAGATTGACTTTAACTTCAAATGCTTCAGCTTCCTTACATACACTTTCCTGATGATGGTCCTGGAATCATAATTCCCACTTGGACTTGGCTTGTCTGTGCTGGTCTTAGGTTGGGTTCTAGCATTCTTCTTTTGGAGGTTGGTTCCCCTCGTAGGAACTTTGTCTTAGACAGCAACCCTAACAGATTAGGTGAGCCTTTTTAGAATCCTTGGGTTCCTAAAGAAAATCTCTCATCATCTTTTCAATCCTTTTTTCCATTGTCATATGAATTTTGAAAACTGAGAGGTAGTGATTGAAGAAGTTGGTAAGGGTAGATTTGATCAAGGTGATTCTTCCTTAAAGAAATGTAGTTTTTTCTTCCAAGTTGCCAATTTTTTTGAAAGCCTATTTTGGACAAGTTTCTGGAAACTTTCTGCTTTAGGGTGACATTCCTTACGTTACAAAGGACAACTATGCAGCCTAGGGTATTTGGTTGTTGCAATGGTAAAATCTTGGGCTGCCAAGAGTGAAAGTAGAGGTTCGAGAAGTAGCCACTTTGTGCAAAGAAAAGCAAAAAGTGAAATGTTAGGTCCATATCTAGTGTATCCTTCCCAAGATTCAGATGATTTGGATCATCATTGGGTAATAGTCTGTTATGTGCTTGACCAATATGCCAAAAGCCTTAAGACTGATAGAACACGTCAAGCCAAGCACTTTAACTATTTAGGACCATAACATACCACCATGCTTTCGCAACTGATGTCTTGTTTGCTTCACTCTAGGCAGCTCTCACTCTACTCCAAGTAGCCCTTTCCATGACAACTTTCACTCTATTCTAGGTTGCCCTCTCCATGTTTCAAACTTGAGACGTGTGGTAGGCTCTGACACCAAATGTTATGTGCTTGACCAATATGCTGAAAGCTTTAAGACTGATGGAACATGTCAAGCCAAGCACATTAACTATTTAGGACCGTAACATAGTCCCAAATGGTTAACCCTGCTCACTATGGTTGGGGTGGGCATAGGTTTGAAATCATCAACCTGATTTAAATTGATGGATTTGTTTAATTTGTTATTCCAAATTGCTACTTGAAGTCAATGCCCTTGTTCATTTCTAAATCCTCTCCCTCCTCTTTTAAATAGATAGGGATGCAAACGGACCGGATCGGATTCGAATCAAGGTATATTCGAATCCGATCCGACATTGTTCATGTCGGATCTGATCCGATTGGATCTGATAGGACTTGATCTGAATTCAAATCCTATCAGATCTTCGGATCTGATTTGATCCGACTTGTTTTCTTTAAGAAATAATAAATTATTAAAAGAAAAAAATAAAACATACCAATTTAAATAAAGAAAAAAACAAGTATTTTTTAAAGTATTTTCATCATATATATACATGTTTTTTATAAAAATTAAATAATATAACAAATTTATAAAAATACAATATAAATAATATATTTATAAATAAATAACATATATATGTATTATATATATTTATATTTATAAATATATAACACATCGGATCGGATCTTCTCGGATCGGATAGGGGTGATCCGAATTCGACCAAATAGGACCGGATTGGATCGGATCATGATCCAATTCATTTGCACCCCTATAAATAGGTTTTAAGTTGGTGAGATTTTTAGGTTGAGGATTCATGGCTTTTGTTTCTATATAGTTTTAGGTTGATTCAATTTAATGGTATATTTGGTGAATGCTTATTTTTCCTTTACATCAATATTTTTTGGCAGAAGACTTTTTATTTGCATTACTATTTTGGGTCTCATTTTATGCTATTTTTGGTCTTATCTAGCATGTTGCAGAGATACCATATGAGAATCAACTAGTGATGGATACCCAGGGAGTTGATCATGGAACAGTTACATACTTGGAGAAAATAGAGCTGTTACAAAGCAACTTGCTTGCAGCTCATTCTGTTTGGGTAAATAAAAGTGAGGTAATTCTTTTCTGAATCTTATTATGTCTTTTATTGTAGATGAATTTGGAAATTCTTCATCAATTCAATAAAAAGAGGAATAAACAAACATGGGTAGCAATTATGTTCATGTATAAATCTACCAATTTATCCATTTGTGGAATCATTGGCCAGGGAAGGGGTTAATAGGGATTCTATGTATTTGTGTCCTGCACAGGGGATATGGTGTGTATTTTAATTGGGAGATCTCTGCTCGATGGAAGCTGCTAGCTCTCCCCAGCCTAGCATGTTCTACATTTTGCATCTTCCTTCCTGATATCAATAGAAGTTTGTGTTGATTTGTTTCTGACGAAGACATGACCAAATCTATGTGCCTACCCAAGCACATGAGGAAAATTTCAGGGAAAAACCTCTTCCTTCATGGCTAAAGCAAGCTCTTCTTTGATAGCATTTTCTAAGTTAAAACATTAAAACTTTAAATGGTTCATATATCTCTTGGAAAACTTTAATTATAAGTGGGTTACATGGCTAATGTCAACTAGGGAGCAAAAACATGGCTGATACAGAGGATACACTGTCCAATGAACAGTTAGGATCAGCTACATGATTCTTCCGCTTTGGAAGAAATAAGTGGGGTCATTTACCAAGTTTCCCTACTTGACCCAATTAATAATATATAAAGATTTTGTAATTGGATTAATCAGGGAATCTCATTATCTATTTCAGTACTTCGATGATCCTATAGCCAATTCAGACCGTTCATCAGATTGGGATCATTTATATTGGCTATGTTTTCTGCTCCTGTAGTCCATTTCCACCTATTGTTCACCTTGTGTCAAAGTCTTGCCAGAAAAATATTGGTAGTCCAGAATTCCCTTGTTTTTTATTTTAAGTGCTTAACTTGGACACATGGCAAAGTTTTTTTATCAGCAAAAGGATTTCATTAAAGATAAAGGTTAGAGCTTAATACAACTGTTGGAAAATTCCAACCCTCTTCAGTAGCAATTTTGCTAGTTTGCCCAGAAAAGATTTGGCCTGTCAACTCCCCGCTTAGCTAGTACATCTACTACCCCATTGGCAGTTCTTCTCACCCAACTGAACTGTGAATTTAATTGTTTTGCAATAATGTCAATTTCCCTGAATGCATGTCTATATTTCCAAGGTGCTGCTCTGAGTTGCTTTGCCCAATGAATTACTTGTTGTGAGTCACCCTCCACGTCCAAATCTCTGAAACCAAGCTGCTGTGCTATCCTCAAGCCTTGCAGAAGTGCCAAAATTTCTACCTTAACTGAATCTCCTAAGCCAACTGGACCTGAATATAAAACCACCAAGCCTGGATGGTTTCTAATCACTCCCCCAATGCCTGCTCTTCCCAGGTTGCCCATAGAGCTACCATCAAAATTCAGTTTTAGTTTATTTACAGCTGGGGGCTTCCAATCTATTCTCATCTCTTCAGTGCGTCTAGCTGTTTGTACCACTTCATACCAGACTCTAATAATGTCATTAACTGAAAGGACTCTGAACATTTCCAATGTTTTTACCCAGTGTGCATCTCTCACTAAGATAGCTTCCAAAAATTCCTGCTTTTCTCATTGAAGATTCTTTTGTTCCTTTCTTCCCAAACCATCCAAACCAATGCAGTTCTTACTGTCCTTCACATGATTTTCTTTCTCTTTTCCTTGAGCCTCAGGAAATTGGGGTTGAATAGGTTTACCATCTCTTATTGGGGAAACTCATCTGCAACCAAAGAACACATGACAAAGTTATTTCACCTGAAACTTTACTTTTAAACATAGGTTGGAGAGAGGAACTTTTGGGTTCTTTTTGGGCCCCAAGCCAAATTTCCTGACGGAAGACTTCTGGGCTGCACATCCCCATATATTATATAAAACCTACATATGAATACAGGTTACATATGATACCCATATACCTGTACCTGCCAAGTGTACTTGTGTCAGAGACATGTAATTGATAATTTGATATGGCAGCATGTACTGCATGAACATGTGTGTCGGAGACACCCGATATGCACGAACATGTGTGTCAGATGTTTCAGGTTACTAAATTAAAAACCTTATTTTTTTAATTTTATTTTCTTCTTATATTTTCACAGGGGGCCATTTTGTGTTATTTAATTATTAAGAGAAAGAGTTTTTAAAAATACCTTAAAATAGGAGTATCTTTGAGCAAAAGATACAATTCAATACACCTCATACAGGCCATATCATATCAAAAATTTGAACCTTCACTGCATGAAATCTTCTAGATTTTATTCTACAGCATTAACTCATCAAGACCTTCAAAATTTTATTCTATAGCATTATGTAGATATTATGTTTTATCAAATCATACTATAAACATTTGTATATGTTAGAAATTAAGTAAATTTGACAAGATACAAATATAAGAAATTACATTTGGTATTAAAACGAAATATAAAAGCATGATATGTGCATATAAATTGGGATAGCCATATATGTTCTCTGTATCTTTGGGAATGGTGAATTGTATCCGTGTCCATGTTGGTATCCATATCTGGGCATCATAGTTTGGCTATAGCTTGGATGGTTGAAGAAATGCATATGTGCTTTGGCAGGAAAATTGTGTAGCCCACATAGGCATTTTAACAATATCAGTCAATTGAAAAATTCCTGCCTAGGCATTTTGACAAAACCTGTATGGCTGTCCCAGGAGTCAAGCACTGCACCGTGTATGTCAGGAAAGCAAATAGAATTAGTTGCTTTTTGTTCTATTTTGCCTATGAGAATACCTTGTTCAAGATTCACTGCATATTCGTTTCAAACTCATTTGATTAATGATTTTTATTTATTTTTTTGGGTTTCATCTCTTGCTTCTTATTTCTGAGAATTTCTTTGATCTTTGTTTCTAACTTCTTGTTATCTCTTCCAATTCTGATAATTGCAGGCTTTGATTTTGTTGGCAGATCGGTTTCCTTTCAAAGGCTGGGGTCAAAGTCTCTCATTGTCCTGCTGCTGCAATGAAAATGCTGGGATTTGCACCTGTAAAAGAGATGCTTGATGCTGGCATTTGTGTCTCGTTGGGCACTGATGGAGCACCATCTAATAATAGGATGAGCATTGGTTTGTCCTGAGATTTTGTCTTGCTGATTGTGTATTTTCTCCACAGACGAATTCATAGAAGAATTGTTCTATATTACTGAATTTTAGACTGACATCTTGAGTAAGGGTTGCAGCAGGTGGGTAGATGATGCAAAACCTTTGTAAGAGCCATTAAACATGCATCCTGACTCCAATTGATCCTAACCAAAGATTGAATGATCAAGATGGAAAGTTGGTCACTTCTCCTTGACTAGGCTTGGTGTTGCTTATGTAGTTGGTTTTATCTACCAAGTCATGCATCCTTCTAAAATTTCACAGTAGAAGCAGTTGACAGGGTGCTAATATTAAAGGACTATTGTTTTGAAATAATGGTCAACTTAATATAGAGGTTAACATCGATGCATATTAGGCAGGATACTGTACTCCTGTAGGTGGAGGTCTTGTTATTTGGAGAAAACAAGAAACAATCCCTTGGTGCTTGGTCTAGTGCAGAAACTGAATACAAAATAATGAGACTTCATCTATTCAAGCTACCATGATTGAAAGCTCTACCTTGTGAATTGGGTGTTGATGTTATGAAGCTGCTTGACAACCAAACAGCTATAGATATTATTCATGATCGATTCCAGCATGACAGAAGTAAACATGAAGGTTGATACTTGATAGGCGTTTCATTTGAGAGAGAGCATTTCAAGAAATCAGCAAATCAATCACCAAGAGCAGGAGTGTAATGATATTTTATCAGGGTTACATAGGGTATTTTTATACTTTTGTACTTAAAAGGGTTAAGTTAAATATTAGCAAACAGAATTGATGGACCAAATAGTTTCCTCCGACTCTCTCGTGATACAAGTAGAAGGATAAATGGATCTCTATCTTCTTTTATGTAATTTAATTATATAGTTTGTATTAGTTTCCGATCTTGTTTTTGTATTCCTTTTTCTATTATGCCAATGTGGCCTTCAGGTGCTTCAATATATTCCTTCTAATATATGTTACTGTGTTGTCTTCTTGCAGTTGATGAAATGTATCTAGCTTCACTAATTAGCAAAGGACGTGAGGTTTATTCAAAAGGAACAACCAACCCCACTGCAATGCCTGCAGAGGTGGTTCTGAAAATGGTGACAATAAATGGTGCAAAATCAGTATTATGGGACAATGAAATAGGATCACTTGAAATAGGAAAAAAGGTTTGAGCAGTGAATATTACTGTTTTCTTTAAATCATTCTTATGCAATTTTTTTTTATCACCACATTCTTATGCAATGGTTGTATAATCAAACCTCTTTTCCCCCATAATTTTTCTACTCGCATTTTTTTATCCTGTTGGCAATTGTAAGATTTGTTTTTTGATAAGTAGTGCATTGTAAGAAAGTTAACTGCAGTTTTATTTTCATATGGGCTTATTTGTATGGCAGATATGTTTATGTGTTGGGCCCAATGGGCCTTGTGTGTCTTAAGCAATGATTAGTCACTTTATTAGTTGTTGTTTTTATTAGGACAACACCTCCTTAGGGTGGCATGGGTGTTTTGGTCAAAATATTGTAATTAGAAATAAGTTTAAAATAAACTGTTAGGGGCAGCTGCATTTTTTTTGGCCTCCCAACTAATTTCTTTATTCTCTCTCTCTTTCTTCTCTTCTCTCTTCTTCCTACTGCTTCTAAACCCTATTTCTTGCTGTTTTACTGTTTCTTATTGAAGTTTACAACTTACAACTGAAATTTACTAAAAGGTCACTTGTATACCTCTCTGATTGATTATTCTGGATAAGGCTCCAATACAGCATATATGTAAATATCCTAACTAAAAACTGTAAGACTGGTATAGCTAATAATCCATGTTAGATATCTATAAATAATTTACTCTATTTTTTAAAAGGCATGCCTAGGTGAAAAGGCAAGGTACATTTTGCCCATGTGCCTCGCTTCAATGCAGGTGCAGCCCCTTTCAAAAGACATCCCTGGAGTGGGGTGTAAGGCCACCCAGAGAGCCTTTTATAAGGGCAGGTTTTTTTTAATACATTTTCATGTGTTTTGTACCTTTGTAATGGTTTATGTTGTAAGGCTTATTTAATTGTTACTTTATAGTTGCTGTTAGTAGGTTGTCCTCTTAAGATACTGTCAGTTAGTTATTTTTTCTTTTTTCTTATTAGTTTGTTTCTAGGGTGTGCTGCCAGGGGCATACGTGTAATTTCTATTCTTTTTTATTAAGTTAATATAAATAGTGAACTAGCGGCAGCCAGAGACAGTTTTCTTTTTCTCTCAATCGTATATCCCTTTCCTTCTCTTTCTCTCTCTCTCGTCTCCCACTCTCCATGAATGATTACATGGTATCAGAGCAAGTTTTTGGGCTGTAAAAGAATTTCGGTCCCTCCTGTTTTGAACCTGCTTTGCCTTTCTTTCCCTTCTTTAAATTCTTGGACGTAGAAGACAGAGAAACCCTAGCAGATTACTGGCAAGACCTCCTGTAGGTTCTTCCTTGGTCGTAATATCAAGGAAACCCTAGTCGAAGAAGGGCGATGCTGATAGAGACTCCCTTTCTTCTCTGTTCGATGCTGTGAAGTCGATTTCTGGTTGGCACCTTCGTACAGGTGCTGGACAGGTGTGTTCTTGTTTTTGTCTTTTTTTGGCCAATGGTGTGAAGGCCTTATTCCTTTCTATACATTCGTTTGGATGCTGGATTGTTAGACTGTATGGGCTGTAGTCGGACTGATAGTAACGTCTGCCTTGGCTGTGTTGGACTGATTACCGGGCTGGTTTAATGACTGAACCATCACAGAGTTGATTTCAGCAGTTTCTTGTTTTCTTGAGGATTGGTATTTTGCTTGTGGCTGTTGTGTAGTTGTATGGGATTTGGACTGTTTTCAGCAATGTTCTATGGCAAATTATGAATCAACTTCATCGGGGGTTACACCGACCCGCAGCACAACTGGTATGGGAGGTGAAAACATGATGTTTCCCATGCCAATTACCCCTTTAAATGGTCTGAACTACCTAGAGTGGGCTAAAAGTGTAAAACTCTATGTAACGGCAAGGGGAAAAGCTGGTTACATAAATGGAAGGGTGAGACAACTGAACATGATAGGTGGGACCAAGAAAACAATATGGTGATGTTTTGGCTCCTTGCAGCCATGGAACCTGATGTGAAGAAGAACTTTATGTGGGCAGAAACCGCTAGTGAGATCTGGGAACAGGCCAAAACTACCTATTCTGAGCAAAGGCATTATGCCAAGGTTTACCAGTTACAGGCTGAATCTTCAACCTGTAAACAGGGAAATCGTAGTTTGTCTTCATATTATTCAGCCCTTAGTTCCATATGGAAAGAATTGGACCATTATCAGGTTATAGAGTGGAAACATGATGATGATGCTAAGGCCTACAGGAAGCTAGTCTCTCAGCAACGTGTGTTTGCCTTCTTGTTGAGACTAAACCCTGCCTATGAACCTTTGAGGGTTTAGATCCTAGGAAGCACAAAGTTGCCGTCGGTTCACAAGGTATACTCGCTTGTTCAATCGGAAGAAAGTAGGCAGAGTGTGATGGTTACAGCTGAGGGGGAGCAACAAGTTCCTTTGGCTGCAATGAATAATAACTTTACGGGGAAGAAAAGTGACACCAAGAAGACTGATGATAAAGACAAGTTGTTTTGTACCCACTGTCGGCGTTCACGGCATACACGGGACACATGTTGGGACATCCATGGGAAACCCAAGTGGGCAGTGAAGAACCAAGAACAGGGTAAAGGTCAAGGTCAGAAGAAGATGAACACAACACAGAATGCAGCACATGTGGCAACCCAAGATACTCAGGTTGCCGATACTACCCGGGACCACCTTAATAATTCTGACCCCAAGGAAGATATAATGAATTCCTTCAGAGAACACCTAGAGTCTTATGGTAGGGCTTTGCGACAGATGGATAGCTCAATCACAATCTCTTTAAACTGTAGTGTAACCTTTTTTCTTGGCTCATGTGTTTTTCAGGACCTAACTTCTGGGAGGACGATTGGTAGAGGGAGCCTAGTGGATGGTCTCTACATTCTCGACAACAAAGTTGGTCTCTCGGTGTCATCCTCAGAGTCACATAGTCTGTCAAATAAGAGTCAATTTTTTTGTGGCATAGTCGTTTAGGTCATGTTTCTTTTGAAATAGTAAAGTCTTTGTTTCCGGTTTTATTTAAGTCATGTTCAGTGTCAAACGTGTCAGTTGAGCAAACAATGTAGAACAACTTTTCACAAACGTGTCAGTGGAGAAAGAACCATCAGCTAGTCTCACCTTATCTCTCTCAGAGAGAAGATTGTATGCCTGAAATAAATTTGACTTACCGGTCATGTGGTTTGAGGCTCTGGAGTCAATTACCCAAGGGGAATCAGAGGTATGAGATGACACATGGAAGGCAGTGGCAGTGTTACCTGAAGCAGATGCAAAAGAGGTAGAAGGAGTAGGACCAGTATCCATCTGGCGAAAAGTCCTACCATATAACTCCAAATGGTCATGGAAGGAGTTGATGGATCTCTTCCTTAGGGTCAGAACTGGGATGCCTTTCCTGAGTTACCATGGGACCAGTCTCTTGAGATGCCATATTAGCTGAGTTATACCTTTTCTGATTCTGCTGACTTGGTTTCTTGCCCTGATCAGTTGTTGACTTCTGGCCCAAATTTTGTGCTCATTTAGGTTTTCCATTGAGATCCCAGCAGGTATCTTTGGTGTGTCTTGCCTTATGGCAGTGAGTGCACCAAAGCTTACTCTTATCATCTGTTCTTTTCTAAGAGTCACCCTTCTTCGAACCACCTCCGACATTAGTATTTGAACTTCCTCGGACAGCTAGAGCAACTGGCTCCCCCTCTGTAGAATTCATCACATTTCTTCTACTTTCTTCTGACTAAACCAAGGCATAAACCTCCTGAACTGATGGCAAGTCTTTACTTCCCAAGGTCTGCACCCTGATGGACTCATATGAATGATTCAGCCCCAAGAGGAAGGCAAATACCCATTGCTGAGATACAAGTGATTTGTATGCCTTTGCATCCTCGTCACATTTCCAGTTAACATTTTGATAGTGATCAAGTTCTTTCCATATCGATGTCAGATCTGAATAGTACACCGAGAGACTCCTTTCCCCCTACTTGCAAGTGGACGACTCAGCTTACAGTTGGTATATCTTGGCATAGTGTCTCTGCTCTGAATAGGTTGACTTTGCTTGTTCCTATATTTCACAAGCAGTTTCAGCCCACATAAAAGTTTTTTCTCACCTGTGGCAGCATGGAAACCAAGAGCCAAGACATCACCATACTATTTTCTTGGTTCCATCTATCATATTCAGCACTTACGCTCTTCGGTTCCTTCACTTTCCCATTGATGTATCCTATTTTTCCCCTAGCAGTGATGTAGAGTTTTATTCCCCTAGACCATTCAAGGTAATTCAGACCATCAAAGGGAATAACAGCCATGGGGAAATTCATATCCATTCCCCACTTACCCCATTTTGATTTCCAGAAATCCTTGAAGTAGCAAAATTCTCAGAAGACATGGTCAACACAGAATTTTTTTATCAAAAAAACTTCAACTTAGGATCCCTCCTTATATCAGAACAAAAAAGCTCCACAATCTGAGCACAAGACCAACACCAATTTCCAGAAAAAAACAAGATGTCAGATCTGAGTTTCAGACCTGTACGGAGTAGCAGTCCCAGCCTACTAGTTTTCTTAGCAGGTCTACAGCAATAATCACAAGGGGAGATCCCTACACACAAGGCATCAAGCCAACAAGTAGAGAAAACAGGTCATACGTGACCTACAGCAACCTTTCACAGGTACAGGATCACACGATCCAAAACAGAGGAAAAACCTCACAAGGGTGTGCCGACATTCAGTGGTTCAGGTCCATTCGTTTTCCTCTTGGTACACGACCAAGGGAAGAGAAGAAAAGGAAAAAAAATGGGGTGGTACCAGTTGCAGGTCTGATTCGATCAACCCAGATGTACTTCTCTGTTCCGCCCAGATTCGGTAGCTTGGAGAAGACACTTGATCGCCCAGATTCAATGGCCACGCTCTGATACCATCTTGACAGTAAATCTGATTGAAGGTTACAGCAAAAGAGAAGAGAAGAGAAGAGGAGAGAAGAGAAGAGAAGGAAGAAAGAAGTGTCGAGGCAATGCAACAGTGCTGGTGGCGCCAGCTTCATTATAATATATAG